GAAGTTACAGGGAGATGCATTCAGACCATTCTGATGAAATGATATTACGAACTTCCATCTAAGTTAAAACACAATGTTTAAAGTTATTTAAATGTATGTACGCACTACAAAGTAAACTAACAGGACTATCTCACTGTCTTTTTCTCCAGGGTGGTGGTCACCCATCAGCACCGCTCCCAGCACATTGAAGATGATGACGGTTCAGACAGGGAGGCTTCTTCAGTCTCCAGCCTGCCTGTTTCATCCAGTCCTGGGTCCAGTGTGAGCAGCAGTGCCTGTGCCAGCCCTCAGCCCGGCCTGGCCCACAGCCTGCTGCCCCAGCACTTTGCTTCGCTCTGAGACCCGCTTTGCTAACACCATGTTCAGACACAAAGCTCCGGGTGTAGGACTTAGCCCTTACCTCTCCGCAAACATCAAATGGCTTTAAAGATGTACATGAAAATGTGTACTTAAAACGTATAAGCTTGAAGTCCAGTCTTAACTAACACTGTAGAAGGGAGTGGCTTTTCTTTTTGAACAGATTTTGGTTTGCTTTCAGAAGTAAGTATGAACAGTGACTAATATACAGCGTTGAAGCTTTGTGCAGAAAATGGAGGAACCTTTTGAATGTTTGCTATTTCAGTGATAAATTAAAAAAGACGGTCAGTTCATGGCGGCTTATCCTTTCTAGTCGCTTGAATTATTATAGAATACAACACCTAAAGGACCATAGCAGTGTTGAGGTACTTCAAATCAGTAGTTTGCCAACTTTAGTTCAACTGTATTATAAGCGTTTTAGTAGACAGTGATTTCCATTGTGTTTTATGGTCAAAACTATCCTGCAGAAACTTGAAACATGCTGGAGATCTCAAATGCATCACAGTAAGCATTGTTTCCACCTAATTTGTCAATTTCCCATGCAGACATAAGTCAGTGTGTTACCTGCATCTCAGAAACATTACTAAGACGCTCATTAAGGCCTCTGTAGAGACTTGATACTGCATTTACAAAGCAGAGGTTTCACAGAAACTTGAAAAAACAAAAAAAAAGTGATGTACAGTTCGACTCTGCCTCAAAGCTGCATCATCTGGCAAGGCAATGCAATCAAGTATTCATGCCAGGTAGATACTCTTCAGTTCAGACTGTCAATGTGTTCACAGGTGTTTTTAAGGGATTATAATCCACTGTGCAGTGCTTGACTTCAGATAAGTATTAAAACTCATGGATATATTCCTCAAACTGGATGGTACTTCATCCTCTCACTGGGATTTGAACTCGCCAGCCCAACAACCTCGCAGCACTTTGCCATTTTTCGATGAATACCTGCTTAAACTGTGAATTAGACACACTGGGCTTCCTCAAAACCTCCAGCACAAAGCGATGTTAGCACAAGCTGTCGGTCTGTGTGTTTTATGCACTTTCGTTAGCAAAATGAAACCTTAAAAGCCGACTCTACCTTACAGAAAACGGTAATAGTGGCACAATACTGTTATTTCTCTAATGTCTTAAATCTGAGACTGTTGCTGATTTGGTGTTAAGAGCAACTGATTGCACATGTATCACATTCACAGCCTTATGGACTCTTTTGTTTGTGTGGAAATGGAGAGGTGAAGAAAAAGGGAGGAGATGGGAGAAAAGGAGCGCTGCACAAATACAGTCTGATCTCACCAGACTTTGCACGGTGTGCTGAGATCTGTGCAGCGTATTGCAATCATCTGAACTGTCAGTACTTGACTTTATTTTCACTGGTTGATGGTGTTACTGCGGTGTTTAACCTAACCTCATCTTGATTACAGGTGTTTACTAACAGGATGCTATAGATACTTGAAGACTACACTTTGATTGCTTTGTCTGACATGTGAGTTGTTCGAACAAATAGAAGTTAATACATCCAACAATTGTGATTTTAACTTTGTCATATTGAAGTCTTCTTATAATTATTCATTTCACTTTTAAAAAGGGCTTTTGTTTTTTGTGACCATAACGTGTGCACAAATGATAGTATAGAGAATAATATAGAATATTTCTTAAAAGACGCTTTCTCCAGTCGGAACTGGTTATGGATCAAAAAGCTGTAGCTGTCGCATGAAAACAATTACTTTTCTGTGACCTAACCTACGTGGATATTTGAAATTCTCCCAAAAGGCATAATGACACACTGTTTTACACCCAAGTGGTCAATATTTGAAAAATATTTGTTCTGTCATTCATGGTGCCATAAGAGTAGAGAATCTGAGAACTTGTTGATAGAAAATAAAAATAAACTCTTCGTTAGAACAGTTTTTTCACAGAGAAGTATTAGTGGAGAATACATATATTGTATAAGGGAAATTATCATATTTTTTACTAATTGTAAAATTGTAAGATTCCTATGTAAAAGGGCTGTATCAATTGCTCAAAATGACAATTTCAAAATAAAAGTTATTTGTGTTACAAATCCAATGGTTTGGTATTTTTCCGGGTGATCTTAAAACATGCTTTTCTTCTACTTTGTTGACGATAGTGTTCCTAATAATAATTTGTAATGTGTTGCTGTTTAGCCAACTGTCATCTAGGCCTTGCATTTGCTTTGCTTTACATTTAAATGTACTAAAACATGTTAAAATTATATATTTTAATCTATGACGACTACTCTGAAAATCTGCTATAAAGAAATGTGAAACCCGTTACAACACAAGACTAATATTATTCCTCAAGTATTGTGAGGGTAACATTTTATCAGGTTGCATGTTGGCCAACAATGACCCTGTTTACAACTGCAGAAATGCTGTTTTTGAAATATGAGCACCGGCACACACTAGCACACACTAGCACACCACATAGTGACATACAGACATGCATAGAGAGAATTGCTAGCAGCGCTGTGAGAGTAAAGACACAGCGACCAGAATACCACAGAAAGTGTGTCAGGACTCTTCAAGCAGTTGTTAACTATTAATATCTGAGCTCCTCTCCCTCTAACTGGCAGTGACAGGCTCATTTGGATAACTGCATTTATTATTAGAAAGATAATGGCTGTACATCAGAAACATATCATATAAACTGGAATCAGACCGCTTTCCTGAATCCTGATTTAGTATAACCTGTTGAATACATGCAGAGTTAAGCTTGCAGGTTTCACCACCAACAGGTAAAGGCAAGCTGCAAGGATGTGCTGTGCTAGAATTTGAAAAATGTGCATAGTTGATGGTTTATTTCTGACCTGACAGAGGATATCCTGTTGGAGTTAAAGTAGGATGAAATAACTACATGTATATTCTACATTTTTGTTGGTATTTATTTTATGTAATCTCAAACTTTGAATACATGTTTGATCAGTATTTTAAGGCTGCTTGTAATGTCACAACTCCATGAAAAGGAGGGGATAGTCTACAGTCGTTCAGTATGTCTATAAATAGTTTGACATGTAATGACCCAGTGAAACTTGAACGTCTCCCACACAGTAGGACAGATGAATCCTTAAAGCTGCACATGTCTATTAGTTCCTCCTTTTGTTAACAATGGATCAAATGACTGTGTAATGTGAAAGTTACCACTTGTGACAAACCCACAAAGATGTATCACCTTAGCTCTGAAGAGCGTTATAGCATCTTTTAGCTGATTGTTTAGATTTTATGTGCAACAACTGAACTGTTTTGGTCACTTTTCCCGCTCTTTTGTCAATGTTTTAACTGTTGTATTATACTTACAGGATCAGACAGAGCGTTTGCTTTATCTCGTTATTTATTTATTAATGTTGTAAATTAAATGAAGTGCTAACACAAACCATGAAATCTATGTTACTAAGTAGTAGCTTCTAGCTCAACGCTACCTCTAAAACTGGCTTTAACCTGGTTTTTAGCTACAATTAGCTACTTTCTAAGGTAGAAATACATATAGGAAATGTTAAGAACCGCACTAATTTTGACTCTGGTGTTTTCTGTTCAGATTTTTGTTGATAAAATCATAGCTCTAGCTATCCAGCAATAGCCCACAACAATTGGATAATGGGAAATGAAACAGGTATATGAAAAACGATCACCTTGCACAGTTGTCATGGACAGTGAAGTTAACTATAGAGGCCAAATACCTTTATTGTACCAGGCTGTAAATATGTCCGCTCTTAAGCTGGACATTTTAATAAGGGCCTCTCTAAGGAATATGCTTTTGGAGCCAGCCTCAAGTGGCCATTCACGTCGCTGCAGTTTTTAGCTCTTCCGTGCTGGCTTCATTTTTCAGCACGGAGGTTCAACTAGGTCCAGAAACACGACTCCAGTCTCCAGATGAATGTTCTGGTAGATTATCTGTCAGTGCTTGGTTCACAGCTTGTTGCACTGCCCCTGAGTGGCTGAACAAATGAATCAATGCAGCTTTAAGGCAAAGGACCAGCTGTAACAATGAGCAGTGTATCATAATTAGATACACTGCTCATTAGTCCCCATATGAGCAAACACACAGGTGCCAGTGTGAGGTAACAGCGGTAGCGATGAAGCTGTTCTATCAATCTCCCAAAAGTGTCACTCATGCAAAATGTGTGTTTAGCCTACCTTTAAAGGAAAATGTTAGAAAGGTGTCGTTGTCACATTGATAATTGAGTTATGGTTTTGTGTTACATTTAATTAAACTCATCACATGCCCAATTAGTAGTTATACAACACGCTGAGGGGCATCCAAACCTGCAATTTGTTGGTATGATGTCCAAGATTGCTTCTTCTTCTTCAATAAAATCGTTTGTATGATTTTAAAACCCTTGACATGATTTTGTATTTTTTTTAAAGCATAATAGCAATAATAACAAGATTGTGTATTGATTTGCATTATAATGTAAACAGCAAGCTGAAGATCCTAGCAATGGATGATGAAGTGACAGACGTTGTCAAGTATTTTCATGTGTCTGTGTTTAGCCCCGTTAACTCTCCCTGTGCATGCTTCCCCTCCCTCCCCTCTCTCTCTGTGTGAATGCCACAGGCCTATCACCCCTCACTCCAGATTTAGACCTCAGTCTTTCCCAGACATTCAGTCCCAGCTGGCTGTAGCAGCAGGTTGAGCGTAGATTTCCTGTTTTACTTTGTCTTGTACGTCCAATACCTCCTTCTTTCCTTGCTTGGACTTCTTTATATTGACATGGTAGCAGAGTTGGACAGCAGGTCCAGGGTTGTAGTCCAGGCTTTCACCAGCAGGTCTGGTTTCACAGGGGCAGAACTCCTGCTCCCCTCGCCCAGTCATGGAGCCTTTTGCAGAGGTAGGACACTCTGCTCACTCACTCTGTTTTACTGGTAACTGAAATCTGCTGAACATGTCTTTGTATCAGAGTATCCAAAAGAAAGAAACACTAGGGCTTCTTTACAATGCAGGTTCATTTTTATCAGCTGTTCATATCCATTTTAAAGTCAAGCACATTCACATTCTTTGTGTAGTGCCTGAACAAAGTGAGTGTGTGCATGCACCGATTCTATAGCTGTTAAGCTGTGAGATGACAACAGTCTCTTAAACTTTGATTTTAATTGTATTATTGTTTGTATCTTTCTGTTATTTTCATATCGTTAACTTCTCATTCCCTTTTTTACCCATTTGTCTGGAACAGCCTATAATGGTTATCTCTATTTTTTCACCAGCAAAACACCACGTTTTAAATGTGATCCTTAATTATCACTTTGAAACACATCAGAGACCCATTAACCACTTTTTCATATCAGAAAATAAATACTTGATAGTGTGGAACTGTTCCATAAGCTTGATATCATTTTTCATTCAGGCCACACAAGTGGATGGTGTCCTGTAAGGCCAACATATGGATAAAAAAAGAATTTCCAAGTACGCACTGCTCTTGTGGCACAGAGATATATACTGCAGTTCTCGTGCTGCTTAAATGTTGTTGTTGCTGATGTTACTGTTGTTGTTTAATGATGAATAACTGTCTGGTTAGTGTTTCTTTATACTGTGGACATACGTGCATATGTTATAGTTTGTTTCCTGCCTAGGACCCACAGATATGAAGTAGCTCATAGCTAATTCTGGTAAAGCTATCAACGCTGCGCACTCTCCCTGTCAAACTTCGTCCATTCCTCTCACCCTCTCACCCTTTTCCCCTTCACTCCTCAAGTCCATGGTGATAACAGAGAAACAGAGCTGCTGTTACTTCCTCCGGCTCCTTCTGGGAATCTCTATTGTCTCCCAGGCATGCTGCAAGTTGGACTCTTTCCAGGATATACGTTGCACAAATTCCATGTTTTATCTATTTTCCACAGTTTTTCCAATGCAACTTCTTCAGGGCCTTACATGACAGGATTGTTGCAACAAAAATATAAATACACATTCTTGTTTGCTGCCATAAAACGTGCCTTCTTATCTGTAGACAGTCCGACAACAGCTCTGTCTTTTAACACGTGTTTTCATCACAGATACAGATAATATTACAGACCATGCAAGTCAAATGTCACTGAGGGCTTTATTTGGTCCTGGAAACGTGACAACTACACTACAAAAAGTTTTCCTTTCCCAGGCTCCGTTGTTTGAGATGGACCAGGAGGAGGAGGATGAGGAAGAAGATGGTCTCCCAGCGAGGAGCCGAGGTAAGATTGGAAGATTGTGTGATTGTGTGTATAGTGATTGACGATAGTTCCTGTGCAGCAAGAACATCTGCAGCCAACAAGTGCTCCTGTTATTCTGTAGAAGTGTTTGCATGTGTGCAGTGCACAGTAACAATGTGCAAACAAACCTGAATGATTTGATAATGAAAACCACATTCCCATGCCCAACGTTTATCATGATTATTGCAAAAAAGGTTGTTGATATTTTGACTTTACATCATATCTCTTGGCACCAGTGTATATGAAGTGTTTTCACATGTTTATTTGAAATTGGTAGTCATAAGCAACACATGCTTTTGTACCCCATTCAGCCACAGACCCTGACACGTTCATCTACATGAACTTCATGAAGAGTCACTGCTGCTATGACGCCATCCCTACCAGCTCCAAACTGGTCATTTTTGACACAACACTACAGGTATGATACATCTTTTATTTAAATGCATGACTATTTTGGGTTGTAATTATTAAATCTGTGTGTTTTTCGACAGGTGAAGAAGGCTTTCTTTGCTCTGGTAGCTAACGGAGTGAGGGCCGCTCCACTGTGGGACAACAAGCTGAAGTGTTTTGTGGGTGAGCAATAACACATATGTGGCTCTACCACCTTTTGGGAGAAAGAGACTTTGTGGTATATATTTCAAGAGGCCATATTTAGTTTGTTCTGGTTTTCCCTCTCCTGTGTTAGATAGGTGTTTGTGCATGTACTGTAAAAAGGTCTGCAAAGCCTATAATCCCAAAGTTCCCTCCAGAGGAAGTTTCTCTCCCACACGTCATTGGCCTTCATTGGACTCCTTCTGCTTCTATGGGCTAACACTCCAGCACATTGTACGTGATAGGCTGAAGTTTGGGGAATCTCTAAGCGGTTGACCAATCACAACAGAGCCAGCCAGCTAACCAATCAGAGCAGACTGGGCTCTGGTTTCAGACAGAGGGTGAAAAGAGGCAGTATGAGAAAAAAATGTTCCCAGTAGAAGCACCAAATATGAACCTGAGAATGAGCATAATACGGCTGCTTTAAATGTCCACTTAAATACATGTCTGATGTTTCCGTTGTGCCTGTGTTTGCGTGCAGGGTATGCTGACCCATCACTGACTTCATCAACATTCTCCATCGCTATTACAAGTCTCCTCTGGTGAGCCGTGTGACCTTTGGATTATTTGTGGCAAATAAACACCTTAGGTCCTAAGAGTTTGTTGCATGCCAGTCGGTGTCGTGTTGAAATGCCATGCGCCATGCACAGTGGTGTCACTTTTTTTAAATGATCCGTTTTAAGTAGAAAATCCGGATTTAAAAATCACACATATACTTTCGAGGCTAATGATGTTTCTTTTTCCTGCAGGTTCAGATATATGAGCTGGAAGAGCACAAGATAGAGACATGGAGAGGTCTGTACAACATTATATAGTTGATTTCTTTCTCTTTTTTTTTTTAACTATCTTCATTTTGTTTTGGTAGTTTGTGTTAATACATTGTGATTCTCTATCTTGGCAGAGATCTATCTAGAGTACCATATCAACAGACTGATCAGCATCACTCCTGACTGCAGGTGAAAACCAGCCTCTCAAATAATTCATTAAATTCAGGTTCAAAATGTCTTCCTATAAATTGTAATATGCCACGATACTATAGCCGTTGTCATTTTAGTTTAAAACAGTGTCTTAGGTATTTAAAAGTGGGATATTGTCATGGCTTTTATACACACTCTCTTTTAAGTTTAACTATTGTGTTAGTGCTAATAATGGTTGGTGGTATTTTCAAAAAGCTGTACATTTTTGGGCTTAAAGTCAACCTTTCTGCATTCGGAGCCAGACATCACCCGAGTCTGAGCTGTGCCTTATGTTGTTCTATGTTAAAGTCCTCATGTGTAATTATAATAATCGTAATCATGGGATTCTATTTCTCCCCAGTCTGTTTGATGCCATCTACTCCTTGTTGAAGAATAAGATACACCGGCTGCCGATCATCGACCCGGCGTCAGGAAATGTCCTCCACATCCTGACTCACAAACGCATCCTCAAGTTCCTCCACATCTTTGTAAGATTTCTCTGAGAGTATATTTCTGGGGCTTGTCCTAAAGTTGTTATACATTCATCCAAATAGGGTACTTCCCCCTTGGAGTAATTTGAGGATGTGCTGGAAATCGGGTGCAATATCCACAGATTCGGTTTCTTTCAGTTAACTTCCCCGTTGCATTTATCCATATGCTGAGGAAATGACTATATCCCGCTGAATACCAGCAATCGCCACACACACTTCCTCCTGTCAGTAGCTACTGCTAGTGCTACTGCTACTGACCATGCTACAGATATTAGTGCAAAATCTACAGCTCCTCTACCACAACCATCAGCAACAAGTGGACATGGAGAATTACATGAACTACATGTTGTTAAATACACCGCGGGGCATGAACAGAAGGGTAGCCATGGCAACATTGCGGCGGGGGCTGCTGGGCTGCTCTTCTTCGCTACTTTTGGTGTATTTTGGCGGAAGTTACAGCGCCACTTACAGTCCCGGCATATGTACACAGCGTTTCCAGCGGTCTCGTTTGAACAGACACGTTAAATGAAACGAATGCATGTGAACGGAAGACTTTATTGAAACGCATACTGTGCATAAACGCAAAACGTTCGCGTGTGAGCGGGGCCTTAGAGAAGAGAGAAAGGGGCAAGGGCAAATGAGTAAATCAATAAAAATGGGGGGTGAGAAATTGATACATTTCATACAGATTGCATTACTGACAGAAATTCAAGAGAACAGAAAAGCCAAATAGTGAGAAATGTTAGCAGTGCATTTCTGTTTGACTTCTCTGGAATTGTTCTCAATTGGTTTGACATTAAGATATTGTATTTGTCTCTCTCCTCCCGTCCCCTCCAGGGATCTATGATTCCTAAGCCCAGTTTCTTCAGAAGCGGATCAATGAGGTGGCGATCGGTACCTTCAGAGAGATTGCAACGGTCCAGGAATCGGCCTCAGTCTATGACGCTCTGACTATCTTTGTGGAGAGAAGAGTTCTGCCCTGCCAGTAGTCATGAGCAGGATAGGTCCAACATAACATTTTACTGTGGGAGGTTAAAAAAGGGTCATTTTGTTTGTCAGTTTAATAAAAAGAGGGTTTCAGTTGACATCTTTCATCTACCATCTATGGTCTGTCATTTTCTCCTCCGTAGGTAAAGTCGTGGCGCTGTACTCCAGGTTTGACGTCATTGTAAGTTAGTTTCACACATCCCATAATAATTGTTGTTCCTTCAATCCCTTGTCATGCTCTTGCAATTGTTGTTTTTGTCTGGTTTAGATATCATTCAAATATGGCTTTAATACCCGCAGAAACCACAGTCAAATATATCATTTTCATCCATATTTTTGGAATGCCATTTCCATTTCCATTTTCCATGTCCAGATTTGCAGCTGCATGCTCAGCTTTCAATGCATGCATGAGGACTATATGCCTAAAATCGATTACATTTAAATAACTTAAAACTGCTGTTAGTGACCAATATTGTTTTTCTGTTTTTCTCCTTGGTTCAGAACCTCCGCAGCCAGAAAACTACAACAACCTGGACATGACGGTGAGGGAGGCCATTTCCTCCAGAGCCTGCTGTGTGGAGGGAGTGCTGAAGTGTTACCCTTACGAAACACTGGAGACCATCATCGACCGCATTGCAAAGGCTGAGGTAACACCACATGAATTCACTATCTGACTGACATAACCTATTATATGTAGGATGAATTATGTTCCCTAACGGTTTATGTAATTAAGGTTTTCTTGTTCATATACATTGCACTGGAACTCTAATCTATAGCAGTTAGCTTTCTGTTACGATTCTTACACATTAATGGGTCATGTTTTCCATTGTTTTCAAATAAGAAACAATATTTGTATTCCACTGTGACTCCAATCTCTGAATGTTTATATGAAATGAGCATTTCAATTCCTGTTTTTGAACAGTTACCTTCACAGATTTTGTTTGTCTTTCTTTATAATTTTCCTTCTGATATTGGTCTTTTACATGACAGTATGTGGCACCTGTGGTTCATTTTGTGGAATTGGCCGTAGAAGACGTGCAATAATCAAAGCATGACGACCATGTCCTCTCTCCTCTAGGTGCATCGTTGGTGTTGGTTGACAGTAGTGGATGTGGTGAGAGGGATAGTCTCTCTGTCTGACCTTCTACAAGCCCTGGTTCTCACTCCTGCAGGTATTAATGCGCTGTACTCCTACGCCAGCTCAATCCCTTGCTCTTTCTCTCAAAGCCCCGGTCCTTCCCTGCCTTCAAATCCTTGAAAGTGTCCTGCCCCCTCATCGATGTTCCTTCTCCTCTTGTGAATGCTCTGTTCCTAATATAAAACTCTTCGTCTTCTTCACTTGAAATCCTCCTGAAGACAAAGAGTGCTTCTTCTTCGGGTTCCTGTGAAATGTTCTGACGTCAAAGACCGACTCTTCCTTGGTCCTCCCCTTCCTGAACCTTTTCAAGAATACTTGTAAATACTAATTAAACAAATAACCACGTTTAGGAATTCATCTGAAGACCCCCCTCCAGGATAGTGAGAGATCAATCTCTGAAATATGTTCTTAAACCTGCTCTGGTGAATCAACTAACAAGTCTCTTTCTGCGATTTCCATATCAACCAACCACCTCAACGGAGAAAAACTGCCTTTTTGTTTCTTCTAAAACTGATTATGAAGCAATCAAACTAAATGATCCTGATCTGATGGCCTCTGTAAAATAAGTAAAAGACCCCTTCAGAACCCCCTGCCTAGCCAAAATCAACATTGCTTTACAATTAAACACTTCATCTTCCAATCCAACTAAAACCAGATCAGTGGCATCCTTCAAAATCCTGTTACACATTACCACCAACCAAGTAGTTTGCCTAACCTCTACAAAGTTGGATGTGCCCCCCCCCCCACAACGTCTTCATGCTGGCAGTTTCCTCCTCTGAAACCACCAGCTTCTCTAGCCACAAACCCAGTATGAAGCCCAAGCTAAGCTGCCGGTGGCTGCCTGTCTTAGCTTGCATGGTCATAATTAGAAGGCCTTGCTGCTGCCTGTTGTGGTTCTTCTGTAGATTTCCCGAGAGGTTCACATGAGGGGGAATTGGTACATGTGTCACAACTGTTTGTTTTTTCTTCTTTAGTTTAGTATATGTTAGTGTAATGTTGTACCCTCAAGAGGCTATAAAGCCCTGGTTGAATCTGAAATCATTCACCATCAAGGTGTCCACCTGCTGTGATTGTCAGTCCAATTCCCACCCAATCTCTGCTGTAAGAACCTAAACACATCCGGGGACAGATGTGTCCTGTTCTCAGATCAGTGTTGTGATTGTAAAATAGATATGTTTTAGTAGTGAGCATGTGAGATAAAAGTTGAGTCTGATAGTCATCATGTTGATTATGTATAGTGCTTTATGTTGGAATGAATGCAAACAATAACTGTCTGACTATGAGCAAAATGTCTCCTAGGATGATGGGTCCAGTATTATACATATGGCAACCGTCTGGTTTTTTGTTGGCTGCCTAGGTCAGAAAATATGGGATTCAACAAGCGATTAGATTTGGCTTCACCTTCTAGGAACATACAGGCTCATTAAAATATCCTGCCATGACGTAAATTACCACGTTAAGGTTGTCTTTACATCTGTGGGGCATGTCATAACCGTATGCTCTATTTACATCATACCAGATTTACCTAAAATACAAGTAGCCATCACTCTGACGAAGGTCCATTAGTTTATTTAAAGAACATGTTGTGATTAACTAAATATAGGGGCTACCAATCGTTGTTTTCATTGCCTGTCCAACTATGTGAACACCTGAATCCACACAGGCTGTAAACAAACAATATCATCCAGCTTTTCTGGTTCCTCTGATATGATGTGAACATTTCTTTGAGTTTCAGTCTTGATGAAACATGTACAGTACAGCATCAGACTGTGTGCTTTAATGCCTGTCCTCTGTCTACAAACAATGTACATATTGAAAAGATGATAAGTAGTAACAGATAGACTTAGTGTTTGTGAATGTGTATACATACTGTATGTTAAGAGTTTGTTTTCTTAGTTCAACTGCTTGGCAAAACCCCAAATGTCCAACTTGCTAAACATTGGTTAAGGTGACGTTTTAGTCACAGAAGTTAAACTTGGTCTCAGACTGATTTCATTAACTCTCTCATTTGATCTTTTCCAGATATGTATGAGGGATCATACTTTCAACAATGAAGAAAACAAGACGGACGTTGATGGATTGAAAGAGACTATAAAGGGCAAGTAAACCGGGGATTAGAGGAGTTGAGTTACCGCTGAGAGGTCATTGGTTTTCAATCTCCGGTCCAGAAGACAAATATGGAAAGAGAAAGGGAAAATTGCAACCTGCTCAGCGGACACTAACAGAACATTCCATTTTGCAGGGAAAGGAAGTACCAGAGTTGAACTATTTCAAAGGTGTGGCTGGAAAACTGCGTTGACCTGAAGATGCACATCCAAAGACTTTCTACCTGACCTGGACTGAAGCATCACATTTTAAGTTACTTTGCAAGTTAGGTTGTATGCAAATGTAGTTGTTCAAGTTATATTTAATGGTATGGAGTTCACCTTTTGGAATTAGAATGATTACAAATTAGAAATTCTTATATTGTATTTTAGAATTGTGATCACCTTTTTATAAATGCACTTGTGCTCCAGTCACTGTGAAAAAATAAATAAAATGTTTTGCTTTAAAGTGTACTGATAACTACTTATCTGCAGAAACATGGTTTTCCTTGCAACACGGTTATTTAGGTTTAGTATAGTGAAGAACATCGATATGAATGATGCAGTGGTCATTTAGGACCAATGGTAATTTATATCAGTTTTATACTCTGGAAATACCATGTTTCTTTTACAAATACAACAGCCTGGTAATATATTGGTAATAATGAATACTAATGTTGTAGTTTAATTGTTATAATTATGGAGCAAATAAATGAAGGTAATAGCACGTGAAATGTTATCTCAAGATATGTGTAGCAGGATGTGAACTGTACTTTCAAGAGATGCGACAAACAATCGGTAATTAAAAGGGATTAAATAAGTCATAGGTAAATATATGTCTAAAGGCTCCCAATTACATAGATATTACTGTTGTATTTGTTCTTTAAATGGTGTGATCTTCAATAAATCTTTTATTTATAGGACTTTAAATTAAACACCAAAGACCACAGGTAATGTCTTCGAAACACACATGGTGGTTATATCTCTCACAGGCTCCGCCCTTTACTGGACTCTATGGGTACTACTCTCTATCATGCTGTGCGTGCTTTCACCTACTGAATTTACGTAAACGTAGCCGGCCAATCGGGGCGAGCCTACCTGAATGCGCGCGCAGGCCCACAGTATATAAGGCGGCTACAGCCGCCGCCCCACTATCCTTTTTCTCTTCAGACCGAGCGTGACAACGAAGAGTTAAACGTACGAAGATTAGAAGATTAGAAGAAACGAAAAAATGGACTCACCATTACTGGAATCTCGGCCATGCCCCACCTGCCTTGGTTTGATTCGCGGGCACCGATCTCCACCACCTCTGTTATGGCGCATTTCCACCCATGGCGCGGAACGCGGTTTAAGCGTGCCGTGTCGTGCCGTGCCCGTTTTTGGTTGCGCTTCCACTAGGCCTAGTTACGGCCCAGCCCGGCCCGGGGCCACTTTTTCACCTCTTTTCTGGCCCGACAAAATTGTGGTTCTATCGGGGCCACAAACAGGGCTGAGTCGGGCTGAGTATGCTAAACTAGAGAGAGGATCGTGGCAAGGGGCTACAATACAACAAGATGGCCATATTTGACCGTGATTTAATTGTAATACACGTTTCAAAATGATGCCGAAGGTACAACATACTGATACCGGTTAGTAAAAACCATAGAATTAATGCTTTGGCAAGGTTTGCAGACAGATATACAGTTACTATCTGCAACATCAAAATGATATGTATTAAAGCATCGGTAGTTATAATGCGGTACTTTAATTTTCACTATTGAAATTGGACATTCTATTGTACTTAACTTTTAGTCTACTTAATTTTATGATTTTGAGCGTAGGACTTCTACTCTTCCTATTTCAAAAACGTTTTATTGCAAGGATGTTTAAAGAGTTTTTATATATGAATTAAAGTTACTTATGATTACATTTGGACTACTTTTGTCATTAATAATGTTCCATGACTGCAGCAGGAGGCAAACTTAATTATTAAATCTGAGAGAAGCAGGACAGGAAACCGTATTTTTTCCTCCAGCAGAAACAGAGAAATATACAGAACACGTGTTGTTGGTGTTTCAGCTCTATTGTTCTGTATGTCCCAGATCTGACAAAGCTAACTGTATTAATGAAGAGGAGGCTAACACACACACACACACACACACACACACACACACACACACACACACACACACACACACACACACACACACACACACACACACACACACACACACACACACACACACACACACACAGTGCAGTGTTAGGTTGTTGGACAGCAGAATGGCGCTCTGTTGTCACATCTGCAGCTCTGTGCAGTTTCCCTCTTACGGAGTTGAAAGGTTATTCCACCACTGGGAGGTCAGAGGTCAAGGATCAAACACAGCCACCCCTCCCTCTCGGACGTCTCACAGCTTAAACTTGAGTCTCGTCAAAGAGGGTCTCGCTGCAGTTTATTGACCTTCTTTGTTCTCCTTCAGCAGACTCAGCAGTGGAATGTAATGAAGTACATTTACTCAAGTACTGTACTTAAGTAACATTCTGAAGTACTTGTACTTAAACCTAGTATATTCATTTTTTTGCTACTTTATACTTCTATTCTTACTGTACTAGTTCAGATTATTAGCAAATCAACTAATAATAAAACTTCAGGTCAAGATATCCAGCAGCAGTGTGCTTCAAACTAGTCCACCTTCACTTTAATTCATCAGTTAACATAATTCAGTAATTGAATGGGCCATTACGCTTAACAAGTACTATTACTTTTGGCACTTAAGTTTATTTTAATGGCAATACTTTTGCAGTTTTTTGAGTGTTTTTAGAGTTTAGTATATTTCTACTTTTGCCTAAAAATATAATATGAGTAGGCTACTTCTCCCACCACTAAATATGACTTGTTATAAACTGTACTTAGTGCAGAGTTTAACCATGACAGACTCTGTTCCAACTTAAATATACAGACGATACAGGCCTGTGGTTTCAAAAACAGATTGTTCTTTCTTACAGCCAATGTCCCGACTGAGTGCGTTCATCTCCACAATAAATCAGCTCATTTAC